AAGAATTGGGAAGGCACATCTGCTGGCCTAAACCCAAACCACCTCAAAATAGTCATTGGAGAAAATCTTATGGTGGATTCAACTTAAGGGCAAGAAAGCCAAGGTTTAAAAAAACGAGAGGACATGCCCTACGACCTGATCCAAAACCACCTTGGAGTGGTAAAAAGTCTAGCTAATGACTATAAATTCAGCACTTCTTGGGAGGCAACCCAAGCATAAAATTTTCTTTTCTTTTATTTTTCTTTTATGGTTCAGATTTTTTTTTTCTTTTTCTCTTTATGGCCTAGGTTAATGCATAAATTATTGTTCTTTGATTTTGGCCAGGTCATTGAACAAGTTTGGGGGACAAGATTATGGAAATTCACATGCTAGAAGTCTCCTCTAAATGAAGACAACTCAACTTCACAACTTCAATTTTAAGTCTTCAAGTGCAAAACCTGAGAAGTTTCTCTTTTTTCTTACTTTTATTTTACATTAAGGACAATGTTTGATTTAAGTTTGGGGGAGAGATACACTTTTAGGCATCCATTAGTTGCATTCATATTTGCATGATATACATTTTTTTTTAGAAATTAGGGTATTTTTTTTTAGGAATTGAATATTCTTGAGTTAGAGCTTTTAAGATCTTTTAATCTTAGAGGAGATACAAATCTGAAAAATAACACCATTGTGATGAAGTTTAAGTTCATGAGTATTATATTCTATTTAAGCACAAGTTTGTAGTGAGAAGTTTAGAGAGAAGATTTAGTAGCATCTAAAAAGCACCAAAAAAAAAACAGAAAAAAAAAAGAAAGAAAGGAAGCCAACACACAAAAGAGTTTATTAATTTCTACTCCAATGTTTCTAGTTGCTTAGTAACTGGGGGTTAGGCATGAAACCCATGTCAATTTTCATGTCAAACGGCGACTTGAAATATGAGTATGCAAAGCACTTTGAGGTTATGACTTGTTGAGTAACCGGGTGCTTTCATCACAAATGTTAGTATTCGCGTCAAAAGACAAGTGATAACTTAGGGAAGAATGTGTTGTATGGCTGAAGAAAAAAAAAGAAGAAGAAGAGAAGTCGAATGTTTTGTGGCCTTTGTTACTTGAGTAAGTATGTTCTTAGGGGTGTCTCTTCACCTAATGCCCTAAAGCCAATTGGTTTGGGAGTCATTGACAAAAAGCTCGTTACATGGGTAACTTAGAAAGCCTAAGGAAACTCGACTTATGAAAAAAAAAAAAATTGAGTAGAGAAAAAAGAAAAAAAAAGATAGTAATAAGTGCTAAGGTGTGAAGGTCTAAACTCAAAACTTCTTATTATGAATTTTCATACACACACTAAGTGCTCATGGGCTAAATCTTTTAACAAGTGGTGTGAAGACTAAGATGAAGTATTTTACTTTAAGTGAGCATATGAGAACTTTTGAATATTTGAGACTTTGCCTCTAATTGAACTTTAATTCCTAAATTTTCTTTGCATGCATATCATATAGTTGCATTTTTTTTTGCATTGGGATTTTGTGGGTAAATCCGCTGCAAACCCTCACGAGACACAACTCGTCCACTAGGGTGACCTAGGGATTTAAAGGCTTGTTGCACATGCTAAGTGCAATCGTGATTCCTACGAAAGTGAGTTAGATTTTATTTTTGTTTCTTTTGTCTTTTTATTTTACTCAAGGACGAGTAAAACTTAAGTTTGCGGGAATTTGATGAGCTAAATTTATATACATATTAATAGAGAATTTTTACTTTGATATTATTGATATTTGGATGGGTTTTATGGGATTTGGTTTGATTTTACATGTTTTCCATTCTTTGTGTAGGAAAGGATTTAATTGGAAGAAATCATACTTTTTAGAAGTAAATTGAAGAGATCAGAGACTTGAGGATCAACTTGTGCAGAACCCAGAAGTCAGGAACCAATTCTGTTATTTTACCATTGAAGAAATTGCAAAAGGAGGCCAAAAACCCGACACGGGTGTAGTGTCGACACATGATCGGGGTGTCGACACCATGCGCTAAACGTCCAGAATCAGATTCTGTTTCCTATTTGGTGTCAACACGTAATCCGAAGTATCAGCACCACGCAATCAGCATCTAAAATTCAGTTTCCTATTTTTATTCCAAGTCTAACTTCTATTTCAATTAGGGTTTCTAAAATCCTATAAATACCCATCCAAATTCAAAATTAGAGGGAGCTTTGGGAGGCTGGTGGCAGCCCTCTTTGGGCACTCTTGGAGATCAACATTGAGATTCATCAACAAGAAGATCAAAGATTTCAATTACTTCAAATTAGGTTTTGTTTTTCCTTAGATATTCTTATGTTCATAATTGTGATTTCAGATTTTATTATTTTTATTATGAACTGATTTATTTTATTAA